GAACAAGAATATCAAATGACAAGGAAAAATAGACTTATCGGTTTCATAATATACATAACACTGAAAAAAATGAAAATAGCACCAGAATATGCGAAAGTCCCATCCCCATACAACAACAAAGCCTCAGACTACATTACAAGAGTCCCATGCCCATCACGCAACGGGAATCCCAGTACTTAGACATACAATAGTAGTCCGATATCGTAATAGCGAAATTATGAGAGAAAACTAAAGTATATCCCGAGGCGATGCTGGATTCCGAGAAAAAAGGGGAGACCAAAGTTCCTGGACTTTGTCTTTCCTTCGCAGGCCACCTTGCTCGAAGTAAACGAAGGAAAAACAGGAAAAATAAGCACTATGCAAATGTTCGGTGATGTGGATGATGAGTAAGGAAGGGCGGTGAATACGGATAGAGGGATAAGGGTGGGTGAACACCAGTGCTTTTTTGTGGCCAAGCTCTGCTCAAGGATCCAATGACTCACTTTTTTCTCTCTTTCCCTCTAAGCATCAGAAGGAAAATAATCGCCGAAGTCTGGAAAATTCGAAGCAAAGCAAAGCAAGGTGTGACATACTCAGGGTCAATAATTTCCCGGAGACCTTGGCAACTCAGCCACCGTTTCTGGCCGCATATAAAGCGGCCCCGGCGAATCTTCTTGTCACTCAGCGCCCTGGCTTTCACCTGAACACACATACAGGAGGATCAGCTCACTTACTTACTGTACAAGGTAACTTCAGTCTGCTTTCTCTGGGCTGCCGGTACCGTTATCTTTGACTTTTTTTAGTTTTCTCCTTGACTTAAAATATACTTTATTTTTTAAAGTTATTCTATTTCGAACTAGAGGAAATAAGGCAATTTAAAAGACGCAAAGGCTGTAAATGGCAACGGTGTGAAGATAAGACACTCATGTCTTTTTGAGTTTAACATATTCTCGCGGTCTTTGCCCTTAACTGCACTTTCAAAAAACAAAAAAAGTATTGGGAGTAAGCACTTAAAATAGTCGTGCATCCGCATTAAAGGTTTATTTTCAACGTTTTCTCCAAGGCTGTGTTTCCAGTTCTTTTCCTCATAATTGTGATTACATCTGTACTTGCTTTCTCTCTTCATTCTTCTCCCCTGTGCCTACAATCATGTAAAGAGTATGTGTGTATATAAAGCTCTATTCATGCGACAGTTTTTTGCTTCGCTAAATTACACGGGAACTTAATCCTCGATATCTTGAAGGGTAGACATATAAGGACACTTGAATTTACTGACTTGCAGATGTTGGAGCATGTGATACAGATGATCTTATGACAACTGCTGAGGATTTTAACTCACATTATCCTGTCAGCAATTTATTGATTTATCTGAAATATTCTTATGTCCATACACACGGTATCAATTGCCTGTATCATGAAGGCTATCGTTTTACTTAATGAAATTTCTCCAACGTTTCCAGGATGCGTGTACTCGCTGCGGTGTTAGCTCTTGCAGCTGTGGCCTCTGCAGTGCCCAGGGTTCGACGTCAGACAGAGCCACAGGTATACTGTAACAACAAGAGGGATGTATGTGTCCCTTTATTACCTGTGCAGGGACGGAATAGTTTACAGATGGAATAGTCTATATCGATATTAGGGTTTAAATTTCTTATTATTTTACTAGTATGGTGTAGAAAAATATTTTATATTTTAACTCTACGCCCAATAACGCAATATAAAAAATAGATACAAGTCTTGACCCTGTTGCGGAGTTTATCATGACGTCTCCCTCACTCTCTTGACTCCCTTTTCAGAATCAAGCCTCGACTCGGCGGGAACAACACAGAGGCCACGAGGTCTGCAACCCCAGAGCCCGCGAGGTCTTCAGCCACGGAGTTCATTTCGGAGTGCCCAAGCTTCCTCGACGTCTGCTGCACCGACCCCACCCGCAAACCCCCCCCTCCCCCGAAGTACGTGGCCCAGTGCGGCAGACGGAATGAAGAGGGAGTCAACGCCCGCATTGTTGATTTCCCCGTGAGTATATGTGCTTTTCTCTTTAGATTATGTTTGTTCGTGTTATTGAAAGCTTACAAAACGTTATAATTATCTGGTAGGCAATCTATTTTTAGAAAAATGATAATAAATAAATAAATCTGGGTTCCCTTCCAAAACTAGTTCTCAGTAATTTCGCAATACATTATATCTTAGGCTACTGTACCAGTTTGTCAAAAGCAAGCTTACTGACAACTGGTATGTTAGTTTAGATGTCATCTACAGTTCCTGAGTATATAAAGATGATGTACCATGATTCGAGTTCAGAAAGAGATATATCATACATAAATGCTTAACAAAAGCCTTAAATATAGACCCGTCCGTTTGAAGTGTAATGCATGGTGCATTCTTCCCTTTCACTTTCGACATCTGAAAGCAAAGTTGGGATTTTAGATGTAATGCGTCTCACATCAAGGACTTTTTTTTATTAATGCATAGGAATTCTTTGTGGAGAATGAGAATCGATTTCTTAAGGCACGTGTATTTTTTGTGTAGCTTCAACACTTGAAGTTGTCTATATTTCTCTCTGAATGGAGAGAAATATCAAATAACCCTTATATATCCGAACACAAATTTACCTACATGCCCTTAATCCGCTCACCCACTGACACACACACACACACACACACACACACACACACACACACACACACACACACACACACACCACACACACACACATAACACATTTTTTTTGGATATATGTAAATTTGTCTCCCTAAGAATGTTTGCCCCATTCCCGTTCCGTTCTTCTCTCTAACTGGGTGCACCGATGCTCTTCCAGGCCAACCAGGCGCAGTTCGGCGAATTCCCATGGATGGCTGCGGTGCTAAGGACAGAATACTCGGAGGATAATGTGGAAGAAAAGCACTACGTCTGCGGCGGCTCTCTCATCCACCCTCAGGTTGTTCTCACGGCCGCCCACTGCGTCTACAACATCAACCCAACCACCCTCAACGTCCGCCTTGGGGAATGGGACACCCAGAAAGCTTATGAGCTCTACCCACACCAGGACCGCAACGTCGGCTACGTCGTCACCCACCGCGAGTTCAATCCCACCAATCTCTTCAACGATTTCGCTCTCCTCTTCCTCGACTCCCCCGTGGAACTCGCACCTAACGTGGACACTGTCTGCCTCCCTGAACAAGGAGAGATATTCGATGGGTCCTACTGCTGGGCTACTGGCTGGGGCAAGGATAGGTTCGGGAAGGAAGGAGTGTTCCAGAACGTCTTGAAGGAGGTTGAGCTCCCCGCCGTTAGCCAGTACGACTGCCAGGAATCCCTTCGCACAACCAGGCTTGGAAAACTTTTCAAGCTGCACCCATCCTTCACATGCGCAGGCGGCGTCGCCGGCGTCGATACTTGCACAGGAGATGGAGGATCTCCCCTCGTGTGCAAGGGCCTGGGTAACAGCTACGTCCAAGCAGGTATCGTGGCTTGGGGCATCGGCTGTGGAGAGGACAATGTTCCTGGCGTCTATGCCAACGTGCCTGGTTTCGTCAACTGGATCAAGAATAATGTAAACACCATCCTCCTACAAGAGTTCAACTATGACAACGCCAACTATTGGTAAATAATGCGAAGCAAATGTCAAGGCACTATATCGCTGCACCGATCCATCAAGACGCTTAACCTTGTGGCGGCAGAGCCAAGAAGGCCCTGCGTCGAGGTTACTGAAAAATTGATTCTATTTATCGAGTCTATTTATACCATTACATTTTTTGATATTAAACAAATATCTTACATTAACGTGCTCTCCTTACTCAAGACAAGCCTCACAATCGATGGAAGATAACTGAAAACTATCAATATCTTTGAAAGAAGTTTAAATCCATCTCAGCCCATTTGATATAAATGCATCCAGTAAAGTAATATATCAATAACTATAAGCTGTTGATGAAAAGTATGACACATACATATGGCTCTTTTATCATTCCGCTACTCAATGAAAGGATTCTTCTCCATACCACACATACCCAAATCAGTCAAAACGTAACCGGCCTTAACTAGTTTCGGAGGCAATTTGGCTCATCCTATATCCTAATATGTGATCATATACGTTCAGCTTCCTATCATCAACAATATGTCACCAGAATTAGGATTATTGATCCGAAGTTTCAAACACAATCTCATTGACTTTATCCGAATTATTAATGCATAAGCCTATAGCTCATGCGATTAACCTCAGTATTACAAGTGGAAATTAAAAAAATCGAAGTCTACGTCTATACCTATATCTGTCTGCCTCTCCCTCTCCTCACCAATCTATCTATCTATATATCTACCTATCTGTATAAGACCTTACAGGTTTCACATATAGAAAATTTATACAATCTATAGATATGCAACACATTGATCATAGTATATATAGGAGCAGAACAAGAATTCACCATATCGATACTTATATTATAGTTGAAAGTTTAAATTAACAAAACATTTAATAAACGTAATTTCTGGTAATTGCATGCTTCATATATACGTGCATATGTAGGCCTATTTGTATGTGTGTGTGTGTGTGTGTGTGTGTGTGTGTGTGTGTGTGTGTGTGTGTGTGTGTGTGTGTGTGTGTGTGTGTGTGTGTGTGTGTGTGTGTGTGTGTGTGTGCATATCTAATCTTTCAATCTATTCATCTATATTACAGTATGTGCTTAGGAGAGTTACATTTATCAACCGCCGGCTGTGAAATTTCGAGATCTACCCAGCCTTTTTAAAGAATAAAACCCGCATCATTTAGATTAAGGTTATGTGAGTAAGAATACCCAGGCACTGACCTGAAAATAAGGAATCTACAATTCTGGGTGATTTTTAAAATATGGAATATGATTTGCTCATGTTGATAACCCTGAACTTTGCCGACGATTAAAGGAATATGACAGTTGTAAACATTTGACATTCTGATAGTCGGATCTAATGTGTTTCTCATGAAACACTATGAATGTGACTGCAAATCGTAATTAAGTCAGCATTAGGCGTACCAACTGTGGCGCTCGGGATTCATCAGGCGAACCAGCCAGTCCCCGAAGTCACTAGGAAAGGGGCTCGTCCGACTTTTTAAATCTTGTTTGCGAATGCGGGGTTCCTAACTTCCAACTACCCTTACCTGGTGATGGGATAACGGATGTATGTTGCGTTACAGCAGTATATTACGGGGGAGTTGGTGGCTGGCCTCGTACATACTTCACAAACTATGGCTGGAATATTGTAGGCGCAAAATAACTACTGAATTAAAACTCGGGAGTCAGTCATTTCCACGCCACAGAAACTCTTCTTACATATCAATAACTAACCAAAAGTGCTACCAATATTGTAAATGTCAGAATAATCGCGCATCGCCTTAAATAACTCGGATATTACATATTCTACGTGGATACCACCGCATGTCGGAATCTGTAAGCATGATTACGTAGATCCATTAGGAAGCTCAGTAAAGGACAGTGTCGACAAGACCAGCGGTTCCCCAACAGGCTGTGACAGCATCTTCGGGTGTCATGGGAACTAAGCTATGGCTAAGAATGCCTTAAGATCCCGAAATAAAAACTCTTCAGATGCATTAAGTTACTCTCATTCTTATGGTGGGTTTTATGCTTGTCATTTTGGCATGTAAACCTTGATTATTTAATTTCGAGTAATCCGTGAAAGTAGCGAAGACCACTCTCCTGTAAAGGTAAATACACAGGGGTAGTATATAGTGACTAACACGTAAACAGCGCAATTTGGGATCCGGCGGTCATAACCGTAGTGCGCAATTATCGGCATTACTAATGTTCTCAAAACAATTCTTACTGGTTTTAGATATATGGGGGCGAAATATAGGGGACGCCAAGTTTCAAAATATCCTTCACATCATATGGCGTAAGTCACAGTTACATGCTGTTCATCGTATGATGTATGAAGCAGTTTATGGGTTAAAGAAACGGGTACCGCAGAATGTACTGCGTAAGTTTATGATTCCTCCGAAAAAAGTTTGTGAGCCGCTGTGTAAACTTATATTTTCATATTCCTTTACCTCTCATTTCATTTGTTTCTCTCTCTCTATTTTATCACTAATATTGTCCAGAACCGTAAAATAACACATCGCCTCAATAAACAGTTCATACCTCACTGTTACAAAATCTCATTCATATATGTATTTTCTTCCTTCATGATAATAATGCTAACAATAAATTTGGAAATCACGCCAAACCGCTTTTCTGATAGGTTTCGTCGTGTTTCGAATGAATTCAACATTCATTCCCGTCGCAAACGAAGCATAGCCGCGATACTGTTGTTTAATACAATGATAGAGATAAATAAAATTTACTTACCTCGTACTTTGATCACCACTCGCCTTGTCCAATACCAAAACAATAGATCAAATGCTAACAACACCTCATAAACAAACCAAAAAACACAAGTCTGTACTGTTACTGCGAACACTAAAACAACACTCCATCGGTATTCCCGTTTTCTATGCCAGATCCCTTAACAAGCACTCACCGTTTTCTTTGACTCGTAGCCCAACAATTACAATTCGTTACAAGTCCCCCTCAAAAGCTACCACTTTCCTTTTAATTATACCACACGCCCCCTTGATCTTAAAATCACTACCAACTACTGATTTACAAAGAATTAGCACGTAGATCTTCATCCTCTTTGCTCGACTCTCCCTCTACGCAATCCTTCATTCACATCGGTCTACGTCTCTCCCTCTGAGACCGTCGCGAGACTATATCTTCGCCAGCTTCCTCTCCAGGACATGCTGTAGCGTCCCTCCAACTGATACATTATTCTGAGAGTGCACATCTGTTACTGTGCCTCTCCCCCACCTCGACGTGCACCGTGCATTTAACAGCTTCACCCACACTTCTTACCTAGTTTCGATAAACGCAATACTAACCTCGTACCGTAATGTCTTAGTTGGCATACTTGGGTGTCTCCATTCATACTTAAACACAGCTTTCTGTTAAACAGTTCTCTCATCCTGGCCAGACCTTGGCAACATATACCGAAACACCGCTTCCATGGGCTTCACCTGGACCCTCTCGGCTAGAACCTTGATCGCCCGATGGTGTCTCTCCATGATTCCATTTCCACTTGGTCAGTATGCTGCTCTAAAGAAACGACTAACATTACATTTATCAAGCATATTCTTTAACACCTGAGACCGAAAAGCTGTTCTGTTGTCCATCAATACCGCATCTACTGGGCCACTTTCTAAAAACTAATTTAAAACTTGAAATTACCTCTGCAGTTTCGCCTCTCAACCGTCTCCATATAGCCACTCTACCAGGTCCGCAGTCAACCATGTATTAATGCAACTCCTGCCTACATTGTGTCACATCCATTGCTAGTCTCCTTCATTAATTATATACCACCATATACCACACCAAGTGGTGGTCAACAGTGTGTCACATCCATTGCTAGTCTCCTTCAATAATTCTTCCCGCTGACCTTCCCAACTCATGCACGGCTGGCGCAGGATCAACTGACTGACATCTACTACTGTGCCACATCACTCGTCACCTCCTGCCTACATTGTGTCACATCCATTGCTAGTCTCCTTCATTAATTATTCACGCTGACCTTCCCTGCTCATGCACGGCAAAACTTTGTCCCCAGGTGATTGTAGGGTCAATCTTCCTTGCTACGTACAGCGTTCTATCAACACCTATATGGTGCATCTTGTGCCGGTCTTCCACGTTCGAGATTCCTGCGCAGCAGACTGTGGTCACCTTTTCATTCTCTTCCGGGAAACCTAGCCAAGTCTTCTTTACCCTTGTCAACACATCTGCTTTGTTCCTCTCAGACTGCACAAATACACATATAACTTCACACCGAACTCTTCGACCAACTCCCTCAGATTCCCGTAGCGGCGTTACACTATCATCTCTGAGGTTCCTTTCGTCCTGACTCAATGCTTCGTTATCCCTACTGAATTTAGCCAACCAACCACTGTAGCCGAATCCGTTCTAACCTCGATGTCTACATTTCAGAGCTAAGTTGACGCCATTTAATACAGCGTCTAATTCTGCTCTGTTGATATTGTTGTAATCATCCTTTTTTCCATAACCATGCACCATCCTCAACAGTTTCATGGCCAATCATCAGTATCACTCTAGTGAGACGCAAGTAGCGCTGGAGTGCTACCTGCGTCACACCAAACGACTCCCTTCTCTGACTTGAGCGCATGCCTCAGTGGAAACACTTTTTGTAGCAAATGACTGAAAAATTTATCACCGTAACCAAAGAATGCTTATACTTAAGAAACAAATGGATAGTTATATATCTTTATATATATGTATATATACATATAAGTATTTATATATCTGTATATATATAAACATATAAGCATATATATATATATATATATATATAGTATATATACATATATGCATACATATATATATATATACATATATATATATATATATATATATATATATACATGTGTGTATATATGTATATGTATATATATATATGCATATTATATATATATATATATATTATATTGTGTGTGTGTGTGTGTGTGTGTGTGTGTGTGTGCGCCGTGCGTGAGTGTGTGTACATATACACGAATATACCAACATATATGTCACTATCTACATATATCTATATCTTTATATGTACATATATACACACAAATACACATATATATATAATATATATATATATATATATATATATATATATATATATATATATATATATATATATATATGTATGTATATATATATATATCACGGGGCTGATGCCCACGAGGGCGCAAGGCC